TTCACGCGAGCGACAGGAGTGATGGCGATGATGACTTGCCGTGTGCCGCTGGTGTGTGCCCTCTGCGGCTCCGACTGGTTTGTCTCTCGTCGCCGGCATCTGTGTGCTTCCCGGAGGAGGAATGGCTGTCGGTGATGCGACTTTCAGCCTTGGTGTGGCCCACACGGAGCATTGGAGACGCAGCTGCGAGTGGCGTTCCGTGGCGCGGGTGGCCGCCCTGACGTGCTGCCAGGGTGCGGTGCCTCGCGGGGAGGGAGGACGGGAGCCCGCCGTGCGTCCCCTCGACGTGCTGCGGGCGTGATGTTGGCAGCGTGCGTCCGGTGAGTGGGGTGTTGTTGAGGGTGGCTGGGACGAGTGCGGAGCGATTCCTGCCCACCAGCTGCAGGTGCCGACGTGCCTCTCCCGCTGTGTATTTGACGGCGGGGGATTCCCCCGCTGTGCGAGGTGATGTGCGCCGGCGGCGGAGCGGGTGTGATGGAGGAGACAACGGTGAAATGGCTGGCGGCGGTAGCGCGTGGGTGCTGCGGAGGGCGGCTGTGGCCTTTTGCCTCCCGCTGGTTATTTTATGTGTGGGCGTCGCCTGGTGTATGCTGCCGCGTGGCAGAAGCGCCCGCCGTGGCTCCTGCTGCGTGGTGTGACCGTCGCTGTGTGTTCCCGGTGCAGTCATCTTCCTTCTGCTGTTCCGTGTGTCTGTGTGCGTGAGTTGTTGTTGTTGGGAGTGACTGCGGCGGGGATGGTGATGCCACTCACAGTGTGGATGGGTGGCGGTGCTCGCTGTCTCACCTCTTTGCTTGGCTTGTTTTCTCTTCTCTCTCCGCCTCACGCACACACACGCTAGGAAGGAAGTTACGACTAAACGCTAATCGCCACTGTGAAATTCGAGGGCACTGAAAGGACCAACAACAGCACACACACCGCCCACACACACGTATTTCTATGCTCTCACGTGTTGCTGCAGTGAAGGCACCCCGCACACACAACCGTTGCCTTAACACCGGATCGAGCGGAAGGAGGAGGGAAGGAAGAGAGAGTGAGCAGCAGAGGCCCAACATGTCCCGGCATCTCTTCTGTTCTGCGGTGCCGCTCCTCCTCGTTGTGATGTGGATGTGCTGTGATCCTTGTGGTCCCGCAGCCGCTGAGGACAGCAATTCAGGGGATGTGCGGCTGCCGCAACGGGTGGGTCTCTTTTTGCCGCAGAAGACGTCGGTGCTGCCGAAAGAGGGGGCGGGTCCGGGTGATGTAAGGGATGCATTTGTCTCACCCTCTATTGTCAGTGCTGGAGGAGTAATTGTTGCTCTTGCTGAGGGTCGGAAGTGGCATAGTGCTCCGCAGCATCCAGCCGCCAAAACCCTTGCGATTGATATTGTTGCGGGGTACCTCAACGCTACGGAGCCGTGGCCGTCCATGGTCGCCTATATCACCTCCAGTAAGTGGAATGCACACACCGTCTTTGACAGAGAAACCCCAAAGGATGGGTTGGGCATGGCGATTCTACCCACGTCACTTTCCAAGGGCAACGAGCTGTTCCTTCTTGTGGGAAGCTCTTACTTTGTTTTTGATGCTACTACGCAGCATTGGGTTGAAGGTGGAGGGGACATCCATTTGGTTAAGGGTGAGGTCACGCCGTCCACGGAAGACGAGCCGAGTAAACGGGTCCGATGGGGCAGACCTCAATCGCTGTTGGGGCTGATCACCGAACGTACCAAACAACTTGGCCTGCACCACGTTTCCGGTGCTGGTGGCTCAGGCATTGTGCTTGAGAGGGGCTGGTTTGTGTTTCCCCTGACGGCGTTAAAAGGCGAAGAAAAAACCGTCTTTACTATTTATTCAGTGAATGGCGGCAGCAGCTGGGACGTCGGCACAGGCACGCCTCCTGGGTACTGCATGGACCCTCTTATTGCCGAATGGGAGGAAAAACTTCTCATTGTTGTTTCTTGTACGGGTGGCCGCAAAGTGTTTCAGGCGGGTGACATGTGGGACACATGGACGGAGGCTCCCGGGGTACTGTCACGCTTGTGGACCAGCGAGCCAAACCCTCGGGGGCTAAATTTTGCGTTGGGAGATCTCCTCACTCTGAACTTTGGCATAAGGAGTCTCATGCTGTACACTCAGAAAGGGTTTCCCCAGGGGGAAGGCAAAGCCAATGCGCTCTACCTTTGGGTCACGGATAATAGCCGCGCGCGTCCTGTTGGCCCAATTTCTATGGATGATGATGGGGAGAGGACGGTTGCCAACAGACTGCTGCACTCAAATAATATGCTGTACCTTCTGCATGAGAGAAGAGATCAAAGTACCGATGGCATTTTTCTTTCCCCACTGAAGGAGGAGCTCGACACAATTATGTCCGTCGCGAATAGTTGGGCACTGATGGACATTTTCTTTTCCGGGTTGTCTATACCCACGGATGGGCTGGTTGCTTCTTTGTCCGATTTAGCCACTCCTGACACGTGGATCGACATGTACCACTGCGTGAATGCAACGGTGACAAATGCCGAGATGACCCCACATGGCTTTAGGTTTACGGGGCCTGGGTCCAAGGCGGTCTGGCCCGTGAACAGGGGGGAATTGAACAGGCAGTACACCTTTGTGGATTACAACTTCTCCCTTGTGGCGACGGCGGTCATCGAGAGGGTGCCCGCGGGCAGCGTCCCTCTGCTGGGTGTGAAATTGGAGCATTCTAATCGCAGGGGGTTCATTGGGCTGTCTTGCACCGCGGAGGGGAAGTGGGAGGTGTCGTTAGACGGCAATACAACGAGATCGAGCAGCAATTGGGAGCCGGGGAGAGAATACCAGGTGGCGATCATGCTGCGGGACAACAGAGGCTCCGTGTACGTGGATGGCGTTGTGGTGGCGAGCTCCGAGACGATGCCAACTCTTGAGACGCGGTTTATTCAACTCTCGGAGTTCTACTTTGGGGGCGACGAAGGTGACCGAGGCAGCAGCGTGGAGGTGAAGAACGTTTTGCTGTACAAGCGCATATTAACTGCTGCCGAGCTAAGAACCATACAATGGAGTGCCTCCTCCACAAGTGGAAGTGGACCCGACACCTCGATGCGTGGGAGTATGCCTTGGCTGCCTTGGCTGCTGCTGCTGCTGCTGGGGCTGTGGGGCTTTGCGGCCCTTTACGGAGTGTAACAGAGTGGGGCCATTGCCACGAGCAGGGACACATGCATCTCTACGCGCACCCTCTCTGAATTACTTGGCGTATCACGTGGATGCTGTTGATTTTATTTTATGCTTCTTTTTTTTTGTGCGAGACGATATATTTTTTTATTGAGCGTTTTTTTATTTTTATTTACTTTTATTTTTGTGCCACCGCCGCGGTTTTCTTTATTTTTTATTTTATTTTCTTTTTTTGTTTATTTATTTATTTTGTGGTGGAGCCTTCTGGGGGTGGCGGGGTCCATTCACTGTTTCCGTCCACCGACCACCGACGCTCTTGGCATTTCCCGCCACGCCGGTGGCGCCGGTGGAAAAATAAAATACAAGAAATTGTCATCAACAGTAAAAGAGACGCACGGAGCGTCTCCAGTGAAACATAAATGACGCGTGGACGCCGGGGGGCTGAAGCGACGGGGACGAATATGTCTTATTTCTAAATCTCCTGCAGGAAACTAAAGAAAAAAGAGACAACAACAAAAACAGACATAACGCTTTGAAGCACCAGAAAAAAGATGTTCTGCGGAAAAGCTGTTTGATTGATTCATTTGTTTGTGCTTCTGTGAGTGCGGGAAAAAATAACGGTTTCACGGAGAGCGTTCTCCTTTGGAAAAAAAAAAAATGGAAAATAAATCTCCTGTCATTTCCCACCGCTTGGGCTGCATTGCCGTCTTGGGTCCCGTCAGGCCTCTTCTTCTTGTGTTTTTTTTTTGTCCTGCATCTCTGCTGTGTTCTTTTGTTTTGTGGCTTCACGTGTTTTACTCCTCTCTTCCTTTGCGTACTTGCAGGAACACACGAACACACGCACGCGGTGTACGTACTGCAGTGCACCTGGATGGTCTTTTAGTGCTCTGTGCCGGCAGTTGCATGCGGGTGCTGCTTTTCTTCCGTGACCGTCGCAGGAGGAGCGACGGCGGGGGAGAGCGGCGCGATCGTGTTTTGTTGTGGGCGTGGTGCACTGCGTGTGATCGCCTGGAATGAGGCGCCGTGCCCCATTCACTGCGGAGTGACAATGCTGAGCCGCTTGCTGCGTGCCCATGATCTCATGGGACATGGCGTGACACCGTCGGAGGGCCTCGTGACGCGGTTGCACTCGCCAAGAGGCGGAAGAAGAAGCCGGACCCGCTGGACGAGCCGCTGTCCAGCCAGTTGTTGCTGGACGCGTTGGAGCGCGAGTACAGCAGCCCGGCCACTCTTGCGGTTGCTGCGCCGCACTTCTTCCAGCACTACGACGCCACCGGCTACACGGCGTTGCGGTGCTGCCACGAGCACGGGGAGGACAATGGGATGCGGTTCATGGCGGCGTGCCTGATTGGCGGATCTGTGGTTGTACGCCACTCCCGTCGTACGAGGTGCCGGTGCGTGGCGGTGTGACTCGTCTCTCTCTTCGCCTCCGCTCTGCGTTGGCGGGGAGTTGGTTTGTGCTGTAGGCTGCACGCGAGCGACAGGAGTGATGGCGATGATGACTTGCCGTGTGCCGCTGGTGTGTGCCCTCTGCGGCTCCGACTGGTTTGTCTCTCGTCGCCGGCATCTGTCTGCTTCCCGGAGGAGGAATGGCTGTCGGTGATGCGACTTTCAGCCTTGGTGTGGCCCACACGGAGCATTGGAGACGCAGCTGCGAGTGGCGTTCCGTGGCGCGGGTGGCCGCCCTGACGTGCTGCCAGGGTGCGGTGCCTCGCGGGGAGGGAGGACGGGAGCCCGCCGTGCGTCCCCTCGACGTGCTGCGGGCGTGATGTTGGCAGCGTGCGTCCGGTGAGTGGGGTGTTGTTGAGGGTGGCTGGGACGAGTGCGGAGCGATTCCTGCCCACCAGCTGCAGGTGCCGACGTGCCTCTCCCGCTGTGTATTTGACGGCGGGGGATTCCCCCGCTGTGCGAGGTGATGTGCGCCGGCGGCGGAGCGGGTGTGATGGAGGAGACAACGGTGAAATGGCTGGCGGCGGTAGCGCGTGGGTGCTGCGGAGGGCGGCTGTGGCCTTTTGCCTCCCGCTGGTTATTTTATGTGTGGGCGTCGCCTGGTGTATGCTGCCGCGTGGCAGAAGCGCCCGCCGTGGCTCCTGCTGCTGGTGTGACCGTCGCTGTGTGTTCCCGGTGCAGTCATCTTCCTTCTGCTGTTCCGTGTGTCTGTGTGCGTGAGTTGTTGTTGTTGGGACTGACTGCGGCGGGGATGGTGATGCCACTCACAGTGTGGATGGGTGGCGGTGCTCGCTGTCTCACCTCTTTGCTTGGCTTGTTTTCTCTTCTCTCTCCGCCTCACGCACACACACGCTAGGAAGGAAGTTACGACTAAACGCGAATCGCCACTGTGAAATTCGAGGGCACTGAAAGGACCAACAACAGCACACACACCGCCCACACACACATATTTCTATGGACTCACGTGTTGCTGCAGTGAAGGCACCCCGCACACACAACCGTTGCCTTAACACCGGATCGAGCGGGAGGAGGAGGGAAGGAAGAGAGAGTGAGCGGCAGAGGCCCAACATGTTCCGGCATTTGTTTAATTTCGCGGTGCTGCTGCTCCTCGTCACGACGATGTGCTGCGGCACTGGTGGAGCTACGTCTGCAAAGGAGAATGGTGGCAACAGTGATTTAAGAAGTGTTGAGGAGCTGCAATGGGTCGATCTATTTGTGCCGCAGAAGACGCCGGTACTGTCGAAAGGTGGAGATACTTCAGAGAAGATGTGGGATTCATTTGTTTCACCCTCTCTCGTCAGTGCTGGTGGAGTAATTGCTGCTTTTGCCGAAGGCCAAATAAATGCTCAATATACCGCTGATGGTAAATTAATTAGGCCGACTTCTTCTGATGTTGTTGCGGGATACATTGACTCTGCGTGGGAATGGCCCACTCTTGTTGGTGAGGTCAATAAAGAAACATGGCGGGCACACAGCGTGCTTGTTAAAGCGGAGGGAAAGGAGAGTTTGGATGTTGTGCGCCACCCCACAACAACGATGAAGGACAAAAGAGTTTTTCTTCTTGTGGGAAGCACTGCCTTGTCCGATGTAAATGGGAGTTGGGGACAGGGCAGCTTGGAGCTGAAACTGGTTGTGGGTGATGTCACGAAGCCTTCTGCGGACAGCGAGCCGAGAGAGTGGATAAAATGGAGCGAAGTTCAATCGCCGGTGAAGCAGACTACTTTGGCTGTTCAAGGAAGAAAATTGACGGAGTTTGTTGCTTCTGGTGGCGCAGTTGTTCTGATGGAGGATGGCACGCTTGTGTTTCCACTGATGGCGAAGAGCGGAAATGGTGTCGTTTACTCCATGATCATTTACTCGACGGACAACGGCAGTACCTGGGCGCTCTCAAAGGGCGTTTCACCTGCGAAATGCCTTAATCCTCGCATCACCGAGTGGGAGGGATCACTTCTCATGATTGTTGACTGCGAGGATGGCCAGAGGGTGTACGAGTCGCGTGACATGGGAACAACGTGGACGGAGGCTGTCGGGACGCTTCCAGGCGTGTGGGCCAAACCCCAACCAGAAGACTCCAAAAATGTAAGCCTGCATGTGGGAGCTCTCATCACCGCGACCATTGAGGGAAGGAAGGTCATGCTGTACACTCAGAGAGGGTACGCCTCGGGGGAGAATAAGGCCAATCCGCTCTACCTTTGGGTCACGGACAACAACCGCTCGTTTTATTTTGGACCGGTTGCCATGGACAATGCTGCGAATTCGATGCTCGCCAGCGCCCTGCTTACTCGGAGGCAAT